GGTCAATCAAGAAATCTACCGCGTATGTGAGGTCAAGTAAAGTTAAACCAATTCGATCTACCCTTTTTGGCTCTAATTTCTGACAAATAATCCTATTGTATCGGTCATATTTAATATTTTAATAAAGAAAATCCCTTTAAACCCAGATTCATGTGAACTTGACTACGGTGTCCACGATCAGCATTCACCTGGCCCACACAGGTAGCGTGTTAGCTAATAATAAACCCAAGCCATGAAAAATATCCCCACAATCACCTCCTACCTCACAGGGAACGCCAATGAGTTGAATGCATGCAGCAATCGCTACTCTGTGTGTAAAAATTGACTGGCAACTCTTTCAACGTTTACTTGAAGGGAAGAAAAGAGTCGGCATGAGAAATTGGTGTCATGGAAACGAGGCACGAAGGACAAAACGAAAACTCCCTATTTCGTATAGTTAAATGAGTGGGCAGTAATCCTCGATCAGTTACAATTTAACAGTAAGCGGTGGATGAAATTAAGAGACCTGGTACCACCTCCCAGTATTTTAAAGGTCTATAAAAAAACCCAGACACCAGAGTAATGTTGGAGTAGCAAGAGGAGGGGAGGGGAGGGCGAAAGAGAAGCAGGCTACACCCAAATGATTTAATTAACTGAAGGCAAATGATCCTATCTAGAAAACATTTCTGGAGAGAGATGTTTTACTTATTTCCCCATTTCACTCTGACATCATCCCCATTGGTCGTGCATGTCATCAGAATTGGCTCAATCATGAGGATACAAATCTCGTTCTACAATCAAATAAAAGATAAAAATCGGATAAGTATTTCGACGTGGGGCAGAATCTGGCCAACCTTTGAGGAAGAAGGAGAAGTGTCAAATTTAATCATGTATGCGGTGTATTGGGTGAGAGGACTTAGGAGATCGAGTATAACCGAAGAAAGAATAGCAAAATGCAGTATTAGGAGGACGTACACAACCCCTAAACCGACGTCGTATCCGAGGTTCCTCACCTCGTGGACACTATGAAAATGGAATCACGCTTCTCAAAGACCCGAACTCTGAAAGCAACACCCAAAGCTCACATTGCTAAGAGTTGGCAATCTCATCGTCTTATACGCCAATTGAAGCTATGCGCTAATGGTTGGAACGATTCAGCTCTTCTCATTACTCCCGACTCCGAAACAAACAGTGAAGAGAGTGGCTAGGTCGGTTTCCTACAATCAGACAATGAATGGGGACTGTCTTTTCAAAACAAGAACCTTCATGACTTTTGCCTCACACAAAACACTGGCCGTAATGACCAGGCTTCCACGATGCTCAGTCATTGAACTGACTCGGAAGAGAAGCCGATCGAGGAGGGTCAGCACTTTTAAATCCGGCACTTCAGGATACCAAAATATTGCTCTCTTTTGCATTCCCACATACGCCTACAAAACATGAATGAAAAAGTACAGGAGATCTAAAAAAATGCACCCAAACTACCTTTCAATGCTCTTTCAGAAAGCTTGTCTTCCACACTCTCCAGTTGCAAAGCGATGTATCCGTGAGACAGACCTCAGACGCGACTGTTTAACCCCAGAAAGAAATGCAAAATAAACACTCCTATTCGCATGCTCTTCCGAGGCCAATGTGATGCCATAGGACGATGGAGTGGGTAGTGCGTGGACGACTTGAAGGAAACACAAAAAGCATTTATTTTGATAAGTCAGTTAGCAAGGTATCCAAAACAGCGCATTAGTGTATCATGGAAGGAGAGAGAAAAAAAAAGCTACCAACGTCCTGTCAAGTCTATTGTCACTCATCGCCCATCACTCACTTTACACAGGGCTAAAAGCTAGGCTAGTACTGACACAGTGATGCTGAATTCTTTCCAGCATTGGCAATAAGCAATTCCCCATTCTAGCAATCCAGCATTGAAGTCCTCATCACTCTCAGAAGCTATTTTTGGAATTTAAGGTATGCATATGCGATGTTTTCGATGGCCAGATGCCAAACGTTCACTAATTGGTGAAAAACGAACATAACGGACTGTTTCCGCTACCTTGACTCGTGGACAACTCGATCTTTAAGGCGAGAAGGCTAAAATAACACCCTCGGATTTGCTTTTAAATAGCAATGTTGGTGTGGAATGGGCTCAAAGTGAAGGCAAAACAGGAGCGCATAGCACTGTGTAAACAAGCATATTTTACAGTTCTTTCGCCCACAGCAATTGCAAGTGAGTGTGTGTGAGGGCAGTTGCACGAATTTTTGTGACTGCGGGGACTTGCAAGGAGACCCTCATGCCTCCATGGATCGCATCGCCTCCAACCAGGCCGAGAGAGCGAGAGAGTGTGTTTTGCGTACCTGGTGGTTGCTGTTTCACGATCTTATCATGGCATTATTCAACACTCCCTGACAAGTATCATGTGTAGAGGCATGATCGGCTGTCAAAAGGAATACCAAACTACGATGCTTGGGAGGGTTCATGTCTTCTGTCATCCTCTTAATAACACAAATTAAAGCAATCAGCAATGCATCGGAAAAGGGAAACGGAAAAGATGGAGGTGGAAGGGGGAAAGAGAAGACAAAAACGCATTCTTTCGCCTTGCATACACAAAGGCCTGGCGCACACCTCAAAGTCAAATAGCGCCAACCTTGAACGCTCTTATCAATTGCAAATTACCTAGTGTCTAGGCGACTAGAGGAGGAAAAAGAAACCAAAATCGGTGAAGAAAGTGTCTTAAAGGCCAAGTGTATCGAAGGATTCCCGCGACCAGGTAGTGGCCGCTTCATAATGAAAAGGAGGAGGAATGAGTAATTGGCAATGGGGTAAGAAGAATGGCTTCAGCAATGCCTATAGGCCTGCCTTGGAGTCCCAACGTGGACGCCCTTGGAGAAAAGGGCAACAGATGTGAACATACAACAAAAGCTACTTTCAGCCTTCAGTTCCTTTTACAAAAAAAAAACAGGAGAACAAAGGAATAATAGATTAAGTCAAATCACACAGCCTTTCTCGAGACAAAAGAGGGTAGAAAACTCATTATCACAGCTGAAATTTCAAATCCACAGACGAACATCATAAATGGATTATTTGCGAGTGCGATTTTATTTTACCAGAAGCTCAAAACAATAAACACCCAGCTTTTGGCATTTTATGCGTGTATTTACTTTAATCTGCCTTGAACAGCTTACAAAAGGTGTCAGTGCCAATGTAATCCAACCCAATCTACCCAACACAAGCGTGAGAATGTGGTTTAGTGCACACTCAATCCACCAGAAGGCAGTAGACGAATGAAAGGAATCATAATGGCAACCAGAACGCAAAAGTGGGTGATCCGATACAGCTGTACTTCCTGTAAGGTCAATCCGGCAACACACGCCCATTCTCTCTCTCTCGCCGTCACAGTGATGGCAAGTTGTTCTTCACCTTCGATTTGGTGGTTCACTCAAAACAAGCTATGCGACACAGGGAGCATTATACTCTGTAGGCAGCCTCACATCTTGACTGCCATCACCGCCGTGTCCCTAGCAGCACCAGTAACAATATGTACAAGTGGAAATGTCCACCACTTCCGTAAAAAGAGACGCTCCAGGTATGTTGCATTTGTTACAGTTACTTGAACTTTGTCAATGCATAAATTACACAGCTGATTCATCAGGGCTGAAGCATCCAAGGTGTACCGAGGGTGACGAGGTGGTAAATAGGCTTAGACTTGAGTAAGTAGTCCACCGAACTGTGGGTTTGGATTAAGAGAACTACGTCACCAGGCTATCTTACCCACTCGCATGTCATTTAACACATAAAGGAGAACAAGGAGCAGAATCATGAGACTAAAACAAATTACCGTGAAATCGCAACGAAAAGAAGCCTTAAAAATACAAATTACACTTTCCCTTCGTGTTCCATAAATGGTAGGGAAGAAAGTGCCGAAATTTTCAACCAGCTGTGGCAGAAACAATTTGATTTGCAATCTGGTCAACAGAGCGTCCAAATTATTGCCATGAGATGCATGGTTCTGCCTAGACGAAATTAAAAACTCACTATCTCTTGGATTCCATCAAGCGCATAAAACGGCGGTATATCAAAGACGTGCCACTCCGATAAAAAAGACAAGTTTAAGGCAGCTACTATGACCGATTAAGGCTACGGAGGGGCCACTCAGCCTCTCAATTCCAAAGGTATAACGTCAGGCGCTTTCAATTCAATCAAGAAAGAGTAGCGGAAGCCAATCTTCTGGGTCATAACGCAAGCAATGCTACTACTCACTTTGTAGTATATGACGCCATGACGG